CTCGGGCGGCTCGGCGGCTCGGGCGGCTCGGGCGGCTCGGCTGCTGGGGCGACTCGGCTGCTGGGGCGGCTCGGCTGCTGGGGCGGCTCGGCTACTGGGGCGGCTCGGCTGCTGGGGCGGCTCGGCTGCTGGGGCGGCGCAGTTGCTGGGGCGGCGGGGCCGGGAGATGCAGCTGCGGGGCCGGGAGATGCAGAGGCGGGGCCGTCGGAGGGGACGGCGGGGCCGTCAGGTGCAGCGGCGGGACCGTCTGAAGCAGCGGCGGGGCCGGCAGAGGGGACGGCGGGGCCGGCAGAGGGGACGGCGGGGCCGTCGGGTGCAGCGGCGGGGCCGGCAGAGGGGACGGCGGGGCCGTCAAGTGCAGCGGAGGGGCCGACAGAAAGGGACGGCGGGGCCGTCAGAAGGGGACGGCGGCGCCGTCAGGTGCAGCTGCGGGGCCGGCAGGTGCAGCGGCGGGGCCGGCAGGTGCGACGTCGGGGCCTGCAGAGGCAGGCGATGAGGCCGCGTGGGCGGCGCTAGGGGGGGCGCGAGGGCGGCGCGACGCAGCAGAGCCGCGAGGGCGGCGCGACGCGGCCGTAAGGCCAGCGCGACGTGGCCCAGGCCGCGCGCGCGAAAAAAAAGGGTCGCGCGCGCGACTCGCGGGGGCCACAAGGGCAGCGCGAGAAGGACTAGGGGGAGCGCGCTTCGGGGAGAGAAGGGCGCGCTCCGGGCAGCGAAAATTTCGTGGGTGGGCCCTTAAAAAATGGTCCTTAGGAAGGACCCGCTCTATACCATGTTGAGATTAGAGAGAGAGAATGGGTGCACTATGAAATGAAACAAGTACAAGTACCAACCCTAATTGGGCTGTACCCCCTATGGGCTACCCCACTACAGCCTAAATATATATGCATCAGCAATATAATCATCTGACACCGGACGGGTGTGTAAGCTGCTGAAAAGCCTCTACGGGCTGAAGCAGTCGCCGCTGTTGTGGTACAGGGCTCTTGACGGTGTGCTGCTGGGCGCTGGCAGGAAGAAGAGCCAGGTCGACGAGGCGCTCTACTTCAAGACCGGCGACGACGGTGTGACCTGCTGGGTCTTGGTCTACGTCGACGACCTGCTCGCCGCTAGCAGCAGCACCGCGATGCTGAAGGAGCTGAAGAAGCTGCTGGAGGCCGCCTTCGAGCTGCGTGAGATCTCGCCGAAGGAAAAGTACCTTGGGCTGGAGATCGTGCGCGACAGGCCGGCCAGGAAGTTGTGGCTGCACCAGCAGGGCTACGCCGACAAGCTGCGCAGGTGCTTCGTCGACGAGGAGCTAGGCGGTCGAGTCCCGAAGACGCCGGTCTCGGTCGACGCCTACGTTCATCTGACGTTCGACGACGAGGAGGCTCAGGAGCGCGAAGAGGAGGAGTACCGCCAGAAGGTCGGCTCGCTGCAGTTCGCGGCGACGACGACGAGGCCGGACATTGCGTTCGCCTGCAGCAAGCTGGGGAGCGGCCTCACGGTGAGGAGCGACCAGCATTGGCGTGAGGTCGACCGTTGCCTCGCCTTCCTCGCCGACACCCGCGACACCGCCCTGGAGTTCGGCGGTGGACCAGAATCGTTGGAGCTGATCGGCTATGTCGACGCCGACGACGCGGGCGACAAGCAGAACCGGACGAGCACGGGAAGCTACGTGTTCGTCTACGGAGGGGCCGCCGTCTCCTGGTCGAGCTCGCGCATCAAGTGCGCGACATTATCATTGACCGAGTCGGAGTACGTGGCGGCCACGGATGCCGGCAAGGAGGGGCGTCGACTTCGCTTCCTCCTTGCGGAATTCAAGCTGCTCGACGCTGGGAAGCCGACCATCCTCCGCGTCGACAACAAGTCGGCAATCACGGTCGCTGAGGGCTTGGGGCTGACGGGCAACCTCAAGCACATGGAGCGACGCTACGCCTGGCTGCAGCACATGGTGAGGCGCGGGAAATTTGTGCTGAACTACATCCCTACCACCGAGCAGCCGGCGGATTTCGTGACGAAGGCGCTGCATTTTCCGGCTTTCAACCGGTGCTCTGTCGCCATCGGCCAAGTTCGCCTGGTGGACGTCGGCGACGGCGATGACGAGGTGCAGCAGTAGGTGCCGTGCCCTTCTGCACGGCTGGTGCGGTGACGGCGTGCTGTGTATGGGGTGCACGCCGAGGACGAGCTTTCTGCGTGGAGTACTGCCGTGTGGGCTGGAGGCCCAAGCGTGAGCGCGGCAGGGGAGTGTTAACGGGAATGGAGTGTTGGCCCCGCCCTCGCTTGGGCAACGCCGACGACTTGGTCGGATGCACGGGAGTAGTAGCCGACTGTTCACAGTGGGATAGCTGCTCGACAGGTTACGTCGAGCGGCAGCGGACCGCTGTGGTGTTGCTGTCGACCAGGATGCTCGACAGCTGCAACTGACTGGCCTGGGCGATGGGTGAGCCGTCCGGGAGGTCGACGAAGCAGTCCGTCGACCTACAGTTCGACGGGGAGGTCTACGGAGCATCCCGTCGAACTGCAGTTCGACCGGGAGGTCGACGGAGCAGTTCTGGTCGACGGAAGGGGTCCGTCGACCAAGGGGTAGCTTGACGGGAGGTGTGGTCGACCAGGAGCATCCGGTGGTCGACCAGAGAGACCCAGTGGTCGACGGGAGGCACCTGGGAGTCGACCAGAGCACCAGGGGTCGACCAGGTCGACCGGGTAACCTGCTCGACGAGCTCTGCGGAGGCACGCGAATGCCGTCGAGATCGCGATGGCGCAGGCGACTTCGGGCTGGTATCCCGAAGTCGATGTGGCTCGTCAGGCGCAGACAACAGCCGACGGATGCCCAACGAGGCAAGTCGGACCAATCGTCTGCGCACACCTGCGAGCGCGCGCACTGCTGTGTTCTACGGGGCACGCCGTCGACCTGCTTTGTTGGCAGGTCGCCCTTCTGCAGTGCTGGCGCGGCTCCTCTACGCAATGCTGGCAGGCGGTCGACCGAGCTGCGCTGGCAGTCGACCAGGCTAGCTGCAGGGTTGCTAGGTGCCTGATGTAGTCATTGTTGTCATTGCTTCTTTTATTCAATTCTGTAATTCCAACTTTGCTAGTGGAAACTCTTGCCAATTTCTCCTGTGAATGTGCAAGCACTAAGGAACCAAGCAAAGCTGAGATCACCTCTAGTAGTTCGTGCCAACCCTGTAGTCTAGCTCACTGCCGTTGTAGAGTGGATCTCCGCACTAGCAAGGCGGGGAGGTTGGGCGAGGATGGCTCGGTGATGGATGCGATTGGTGCGGAGGCGACTCGGGGGTGGTTTGGTGCGACGAAATAGGAAGGACAGGTTCGTCGCGTGACCCTCGGGATGGCCTCGATAACGAGTGCCTCAGTAAGGATTTGTAAATCCTTAAATAGGCAATCAGCTTGAATTGTGCAGGTGTGAAGTTGACTTTCTTGTAGTCGGCGTGTTGCTCCGCTATAACGCATTCGGAACTCATCCTTCAATCATCAGAGCTTTCGATTGTGCCACATTCGCAAACAGCAGTGATGCGCCGCCGTTTGCGGTCTTCGGTCCATCATATTTCTGGGTGCCAGCGTCACCCTGGTTTTTTCGCGACACATGCTGGACGAGCGTTCACGCACCCATGTCCTCATTTTGTCGCAAACAGGGAAAACATTCGAGCCGCCAGAGGCACATTGTGCAACATCGTGCTGGAAACCTTTATGTATTGAAGACCCCTTGTTCCCGATGACATGTTTGGGGAAACACTTTGACATGTAAAAAAGTTGGATATAGGCGCATCTTGTGCCTAGTGCTCAAGATTTATTTGTGGGTTCACTGTTTTCTCAAGCACGAATCCGTCACAACAGATCCCCACGCGTTATGGCACCAGTCTTTTACGAGCTGCCCAGCCAGGGGTACCCACCTCTGGGCAAAAACTGTCGCTTTCTGGTCTCACATTGAGAGGTCGCCTGTCTCCCTGCGCGCTTCGCTACTTTGGCGAGAGAATCACTACACCAACTTCATAGCAGTCCCCTCCCCATTCCGCTCCCAACAGCACAGCTCCTTTTTCAGTCAATCTCAGATTAGAAAGACAGGGCGCACGCGCCTCGTCTGTAAGTCGTCGGCGCACCACTCTGCTGTACTATCCAGGGATATTTTGTTTGCGGGCTCTTGCGGCTGCCGGCGCCCCTTGCTTGGTGATACCCAGGGCTGGGAAAAGCTTCATCCACTGCCATGATTATCAAACAGCTGGACGAGAAGTCATTCCATCCATACTGCTGCTAGGATATGAGTCTCCGGCTACGCGTGCTCTCGCTCTTTGCCGTCGGAGGCAACGATCGCTTTGGTGCCTTGAAGCTTGTTACGCTACCGTCGCTGCTATCTAAATATGTCCCCTTCGTGACATAGCAAAGACTGTTACAGAGGCTTATGCGTGGTAGGTACTTTTTTTTAGTGTTTGATCTCGGTGTGCAAGTGTCGCAAAGGTAGTCCGCTTGATGCCACAATTGAGCTTTCTAGATTTAAAGAGGTTGAGCAGCGGTGCTGCCACAAATTGCCCGGGCAGGCAAACACGGTGAACAGAGGGTAGCGTACAGTACGCAGGGATCAGACGGAACGAACGGCGCAGAAAGAACGGAGGGCGGAACAGACGGGACGGAAGAAGCGAACGGCGGAACAGACGGGACAAAAGGAGCGGACGGCGGACGGGAGAACAGAAGGAACAGACGCAACGCACGAAGCAGGATAGGCAGCGAGTCTTACTGGGGAGCCACGTGGCTCTCCTAGGCAGCGAGGAGACAGACGGGCGCGAGAGATCGCATCGACGTATAAACTTAGGTCGTCACAGCGCTGTCGTTAGGCCTCCATATTGGCTCTTGTAAGCAGCGAGGAGACAGACGGGTGCTCGCGCAGTTTGCGCCAATCAGAGGCACCAAAAGAGGTGCGCCCCGCCCCTATGACCCTCGCGGAGTCGCAGCCCCCCTTTAGTTCGCACCGCGCATGGTATGCAGATGGCTTCTTGGACACTGTCGCTGATGGGTCAATGTTTTCGCAACACGAAGACAGCGCGGGAGAGGAATGCAATGGCGATGTTTCGAGCGACGAGCTGATTGGTGGGCGATACCGTCGCGTTCGTCGCGTCGGCGCGGGGTCGCAGGCGGTCGTGTGGGAATGCGAAGATGTTGTAACGTCGCAGCGGGTGGCATGCAAGAGCTATTTGATGGCGCAGGCCCCGTTGCGCGACATCGCGGCGGAGGTGCGATCGCTGGAGATTGTGGGCGACCATCCGAACATCGTGCGACTGCACGACGTGATCGTTGGGCGACAGGGAAGCAGCCGAGCAGGCAGAGTAGCATGCGAAGGGACAGGCGGAGCAGCAGGCCGAGTCGCGGAAATAGGAGCAGGTGTAAGGGCATGTAAAGCAGCAGAGGTGGATAACTCGTGTAAACCTGATAAATCATCCGCGCCTCGAATTTCCGCCGTCGCATCTCAGCCGTTGGATCCATCCATTGACGCGAGCGTGCACGTGCTGATGGAGCTGGTCCCTGGCGACGATCTCCTCACGGAGATTCTGCAGCGCGGCCCGCTTGCCGAGCCGCTCGCGTCGGCTTTGTTCCGACAGCTCGCATCGGCCGTCGCGTACTGCCACGCGTCGGGGGTCATGCACCGGGATATCAAGCCGGACAACGTGCTTCTGCTGCGGCCTCCTGATTCCGCCAGCGGCGGGCCTCGCATTGCGACGGGCCCTGCGACGGAACGTGCGACAGGATGTGCGACGAGCGTCGCGGCGGCGATGGGCGCGGCGACAGCGACGGAGCAGCAGATGGCAGGAGCAACGGAGAGAACTGCGAGGCAAACGGGCGGAGCACGTGGAGCAGCACGTGGGGCAGCTGACCCGCCAAGCCAGGGTTTAGGGTTCCAACCACATTACCTTCCGTCTTCCAAGGCTGTATTGAATGCCGGAGCCTCTGGAGCCATAATCGGAGCGAGCAGCGCCGCATTGCCGCCAGCGGGCGGGGGGAGGAGGGCCGCGCGGGAGCCTCGTGCGGAGGAGGGATTGTGGGGGTGGCTCATCGGCGCGCGGCTGTTCCCCTCCGCCGCGGGCAGAGGCACGAGTTCCGACGGGCTCGGCGCGCAGGGGAGGGGCGGCAACAGTCCGCTGCGGGTCGTTCCGGGGAAGGTTGTGGGGAGGCGCTTCGCGGGGAAGAGCACGCGCGTTCATCCCATGGCGGGGGGGGAGGCGGAGGGGACTATTGGCGCTGCGCTGACCGCGCAATCCTCGCACTCCTCAAGCTCTTCTGCTTTCCCCTGGCTTTCTTCAGCCAGTTCTATCCCCTTTGTGCCTACGCCCTCCCCAACCTCTGTCCTCCGCTCGCCCTCGATTGTGTCACATTCTCTATCACCCGCATCCTCCACACCCTGCTGTCTTACAATCACGACAGGGGGAGAGTTTGGGGAAAGGCGGTGCCCCCTCCTGCCCGCTTCCGCGGAAAGCAGCTCGTTTTCCGCCGTGGGAGCGGGGTGGGCGCACGTGGGTGCGGAGAGGGGCATCTGGGGGGTGAAGCTGGCGGACTTTGCGCTGTCCACCGTGGTGGCGGGGGGCATGCGCGGGGCAATGGCGGACAGGGGCGCGGGGACGCGGCAGTACATGGCGCCGGAGATACTGCTGCTGGAGGTGCGGCGGAAAATGGCCAGGGAGCGGCGGAAGGGAGGAGGGGGAGAGGCGGGGGGCAAGGGGGATGCGATTCAGGGCGAGGGTGGTGGTGGGGGTGCAGGGGGAACAGGGGGTGCAGGGGGAACAGGGGGTGCAGGGGGAACAGGGGATGCAGGGTGCAGCTATGGCATGAAGGCTGATGTGTGGAGTATGGGCATCACTCTCTGCTCCATGCTCACTGGCCGCCTGCCAATTGTCAAGCCGGGGAAGCTGCTGGCCATGCTGCATGCGCAGCAGCAGCAGTTGGAGCAGCAGCAGCAGCAGCATGTGGAGTGGCAGCAGCAGTGGCAGCAGCAGCAGAAGCAGCAGTGGCAACGGAGAGAGGGTGATGTGGGGGTGGAGATGGGGAGGCAGCAGGGTGAGCAGGGAGGGTGGCAGTTGTGGGTAGGTCAACGTCCGTGTTTGCAGCAAGCAGCGTCGTATGCGGGGGAGCAGCAGATCAAGCAGGATTACCACCGACAGCAGCAGCAGCAGCAGCAGCAGCAGCAGCAGCAGCAACAGCAGCATGTTATGGCATCTCAATCTCAGAACGATCATGCCCCGGCGATCTCTGCACCCATGGCACATGCTGCACACAGCTACACCGGCGGTGGCCCTGCATTCACTAGTGCCACTTTCCATACAGTCACATCCGCTCACCTTTATCCCCCAGATCCCAGCCTTGCACCAGTGGACATGAACAGTAGTCTGCACATTGACTTCGAGTCTCCTGGCTGGAAATCCATCTCTGCAGCAGCGAAAGATCTCATCCGTCGAATGCTCTGCATCAACCCTGATCAACGGCTGAGCTCACTTGAAGTGCTGGAGCATCCGTGGCTGAATCAAGGGTCTGTGAGGAGCCGCGACTTGGCTGCTCTTTGCCCCGCCTTGCTGTTCCATCCACCATACCCATCCACATCCTCATCTAAATCCTCGTCAACATCCACATCTGCGCCATACCCATGCACATCCACATCTACACCTACTTTCTCGTCATCGAATCGGATTGCACCTGTGATGGCAATGCAAGGTTGATGCATTCGGGGCGGCCTGGCAGTCGTGCTGTGAAGAGACTGCACCATTGGCACAAGTGGGAATATTTGATCTATTAGATTTAGCTTCAGCTCTTGCCATTGTTCGAGGTCAAGGTCTAGGCTGTGGCATTAGATACCGTAGGTTTGAAGCCGGATTGACAGCTGTGCAGCTACCTCAGCTGTGCAGGTCAACTGTTAGATGGAGCACTGAATGTTTTCTTATGCATCACTTGCTTAATTTCCTAGTTTTATGCCAGCTTGCAGGGCCCATATGAACTACAACGGAAAGCGGATTGATCTTGTCTGGTGGATGGAGTCGTGCAGAATTTAGTTGACAAGGAAACGAAGTCCTCATTTGCTGCGTTGTTTTGAGGCAAACTTTCCCGCGAAGAATGACTATAATTTCATCAAATCGGTGAGAGGGTAACTACTTTCGCAACATTCCCGTTATGTCTTCGTACAGCACGTTTTTCGCGAACGGCTCTGCTACAAGTTTGTTGACCGAGCACCCAGCTTCCTGGTGCCTGACAGATTCTCGTGCCAAAGTTTTGTTGCTCGAGGCCATCAATACCAATCAACATTACTGCTATGCATCCATGCATGCTTATGGCTGGTAACGAGCCAGAGGATCTGAGATGAGTCTCCGCCTGGTACTATGCCGGGTTGTATTGCTGCTAATTGCGAAACCATTGGATGAGTGTACTATGAGCAATCTGACAACTGTCGCTGCCACGTGTCAGAATTAGGGGTCTGGAAACCCACCACCAAGCTAGGATAATCTGAGCAACATACCCGACTCTGTCAAAGAAACTACACAAGCGGATGCTATGTTCTTCACTCTAAAGCGGCTCCCCTAAAGACTGCTTCTGTTTCCGCGGCCAGACGCACACACACCTCGCGTCTTGTCCACCCCCTTCCCGTCCTTGCCGTGTCGCACTCCCACACACTCCGCGTGCTCGCCGCGCCGCTGTGCTGCAGTGCATGTTAGCTGACCAGCCGGGTTAGGGTTTCACTATGGTGCGAGGACGCGGCGAACGGCGTGTGGGACGACCAACATCCTCTGATGCTTGTCCGCCGAGCCGCCCAGCCGCCGAGCAGCCGAGCCGCCGAGCAGCCGAGCCGTCGAGCAGCCGAGCCGCCGGGCATCTGAGCCGCCAAGCAGCCGAGCCGCCCTGCAGCCGAGCCGCCCGACCGCCGAGCCTCCCTGCAGCCGAGCCGCCCGACCGCCGAGCCGCCCAGCAGCCGAGCCGCCGAGCCGCACCGCAGCCGAGGCGCTGCCGCCTATCGGCCTGCCCGGGACCGCCCCACTTGCCTGGTAAGAGCAGCGCCTCTACCACTGCACTGCCCTGCCCCACTGTACTCACTGCCTGTCTACTGCTGTCATGGCCTCCCCTAGTGTTCTCACCTTTGACGCTGAGGGTCGGGCAGTTGACTTTGAGGTCTGGGTAGATGATCTGCAGATTTTCCTACAGTGCGATAGGGCAGACGGTCTCTCCCTGTTTGACCTCATTTCTGGTGCCTCTCCTGCCCCTGCTGCTGATGCTGACGCCACTGTTCGCTCACAGTGGGCCACACGTGATGCTGCTGCTCGCCTTGCTGTGCGCCGCCACTTACCGACCACTGAGCGTGCACACTTTAGCCAGTACAAGAGTGCTCAGACCTTGTACGACGCTGTAGTTGCACGCTACTCTTCCCCTGCCACTGCTGCACTGAGCCGCCTCATGCTACCGTACCTCTTCCCTGACCTTGCTGCCTTTCCCACAGTCGCTGACCTCATTACGCACCTTCGCACTAGTGACACTCGCTACCGCGCTGCGCTTCCTGCTGAGTTCTGCGCCAAGAACCCCCCCCCCATGTACATCACCCTCTACTACATAGTCACCCGGCTCCCTGACTCTCTCCGCGTAGTCAGGGACCACTTCCTCTCAGTTTGCCCCACCACTCTCACCGTTGACCTCCTCGAGAAGGCCCTCCTAGCAGCAGAGAAGAGTATAGTCGCTGTAAGAGCCTCTCGTGGTGACCCTCGCACCCCCGTCTTTGAGGGGTGTTCCCCCTCCCCCCTCTTGCCCTCTGTTGCCTCTGCTGCTGCGGCCGACCTCGTTGGTTTCGAGTCGGTCGGCGCTGCGTCTGCCCCGAGCGGGAGACGCCGCACCGGCAAGGGCAAGGGGGGCAAGGACGCTAGAGGGGCTGGCGGGGGCGGTGGAGGTGGTGGTGGAGGCAGTGGAGGGAGTGGGGGTGGTGGTGGGAGTGGTGCCGGGGGTGGCGGCGGCGGCGGCAGCAGTGGAGGCGGCTGAGGCGGCGGTGGTGGCGGAGGTGGCGGAGGAGGCGGAGGTGGAGGAGGTGGCGGAGGCGGCGGCGGCGGCGGTGGTGGAGCGGGTCGCGACTCTGCACAGAGGAGTGGCTCAGGTGGTGGTCCGCGCCAGCAGCAGCGGAGTGGTGTGACCCTGTCCCCTCAGCAGCTTCGTGAGTGGTACACTGCGCGCCAGCGCGGTGGGGGTTTTGGTCCCTGCACTTACGTCCTCCGTACCGGTGACCGAGCTGGTGAGCAGTGCGGGGGCCCGCACTCCACCGAGCGCTGCTTCGGTCGCCTGACGGACGCGTGGCGTCGCCAGTTCCCTGAGGCGTCAGAGATCCCTCGCTGGGGAGATCTGTCTAGGGCGGGGGTTGCCGTCTTTGATCTTGACTATGATGCTATCCTTGCTGCCATGTATTCTATGACTACTAGTGTTGAGGGTGACTGTTACCTGTGTGTACCGCCTGACCCGGGCATTGAGGCCACTGCTCTAGGTGCTGGTGAGGCTGCTGCTCTAAGTGCTAGTGCGTCTGCTGCCCCAGGTGCCAGTGCGTCTGCTGTCCCAGGTGCCAGTGCGTCTGCTGCCCCAGGTGCTGGTGAGTCTGCTCTCTCAGGTACTACGTCGGCTCAGGCCTTCCACACCTTCACCCTTGACTCGGGTGCGTCCCGCTTCTTCTTTCGAGACCGCACCACTCTTACGCCGCTCAGTCGGCCGGTTGCAGTCTCCCTGGCAGACCCCTCTGGGGGTCCTGTCCTTGCTAGCTTCTCCATTGTCTTACCGTGCCCGGCAGCCCTCTCTGGCACCCTGTAAGGTCACTACCTCCCCTTGTTCTCTACGAACTTGGTAAGTGGAGCGGACCTACAGGATAGGGGGGTTGACCAGTTCACTCCTGCGAGTCAGCGAGTGACCCACTGCACGTGTGCTCGGACAGGCCGACACTTGGCCACGTTCACTCGTCGGCCAGGGTCGAGCCTGTACACCCTTACTACTGAGTCTCCTCCGGCTGCTGAGTCTGGCCAGGTAGCTGCGTCGAGTCAGGTGTTTGCTGCAGCGTCCAGGTCTGGTCCTGAGTCTGCTCCCTGCTCGTGTCGTCTCCTATCCCACCAGACTCTCCTCAGGCACCACCGCCTTGGTCACCCCTCTCTGCCTCGTCTCCGAGGCATGGCCTCCCGTGTCCTTGTCTCTAGTCTCCCTCGGTCTCTCCCTCCCCTACCTCCGAGGCCTGGCCCTACCTGCGTCCCCTGCGTCGAGAGGCGACAGCGCGCCGCCCCTCACTTCCGGCCTCTCCACAGCAAAATGGGATTGCTGAGCGCCGCATTGGCATGGTCATGGACGTCGCTCGTACGTCCATGATGCATGCGGCTGCCCCCCATTTTCTGTGGCCGTTTGCGGTTCAGTGTGCCGCGCATCAGCTCAACCTTCAGCCCCGGGTCTCCTTGCCAGAGACCTCCCTCGCCTTGCGGTGGACCGGAAAGGTTGGCGATGCGTCTGCGTTTCGGGTCTGGGGATCTCGGGCGTTTGTCTGCGACTTGTCTGCGGACAAGCTGTCCCCCCGTGCTGTTCCCTGCGTCTTCCTTGGCTTCCCCCCTGACGCGCCTGGGTGGCAGTTTTACCACCCCACCTCGCGCCGTGTTCTGTCCTCCCAGGACGTTACGTTTGACAAGTCGGTGCCTTACTACCGTCTCTTCCCCTACCGCACTGCGCCCCCCCCCCCCCGCCGCCGCTCTTCCTTGCACCAGGTCCTTCCCCGATAGACCCCCTCCCCCCTCAGGTGTGTCCCAAGTAGACGCAGTCGAGCCTGTCGAGGTAGCTGTTGACTCTGGTGCTGCTAGAGGTGCTGAGCCTGCGGGTGCCGGGTCTGGGGGTGCTGAGACTGGGGGTGCTGAGCCTGGGGGTGCGGAGTCTGGGGGTGCTGAGACTGGGGGTGCTGAGTCTGGGGGTGCTGAGCCTGGGGGTGGTGGGTCTGGGGGTGCGGAGCCTGGGGGTGCGGAGCCTGGAGGTGCGGAGCCTGGGGGTGCCGAGCCTGGGGGCGCTGGGTCTGCTCGTGTGGCCGCCGGTGGTGCTTCGTTGAGGCGAGAGCCACTCTCTCCACAGGAGTTGCGCGAGTGGTTTGCCCGCCGCTGGAGACGTGCTGCTGAGACTGGGGGTGCTGCTGGGGCTACTGGAGTTGGTCTTGCTGGAGCTGCTGGGGGTGTTGGCGCTGGTGTTTCTACTGGCGCTGGTGCGTCTGGGGGTGCTGCTGAGGCTGCTGGAGCTGACGGTCCTACTGGAGTTGGTGCTGCTGGAGCTGGAGCTGCTGGGGGTGTTTGCGTTGGCGGTGCTGCTGGCGCTGATGCTTCTGAGGGTGCTGGAGTTGGCGCTGTTGGAGCTGGAGGTGCTGCTGGCGCTGGTGCTGCCGCTTGGGGTACCGGTGCCGTCCCTGCTGGTTCTGGAGGCGCTGAGCGGCCGAGGCCGTACTTCGTTCCGCTCCTGGAGCAGGTTCTTGGTCTCCCGCCCTTTCCTGGTCCTGCTCCTTCCTTAGAGTGTCCACAGCCTGTCCAGTCGTAGTCACAGTTACAGCCCGCCTCCCCTCTACCTGCTCCTTCTCCCTACATTGGTCCTACTGGAGGTCTTGCTAAGCGTCGCGCGCCTGCATCTCGTCCTGCGTCGCCTGTTCGTACTGCTCGCACTAGTGGTCATACTGCGCGTCCGCGTCCTCCTGCGGTCCCTGGCACACACCAGATGGCGCTGCGTCCTTCCACTGCTCCTCTGCGTGTCCCGTTGACGTCTCCTCCAGAGTCCCCTCTTCCTACTCTTGCTGACCCGGAGTCTGTCTCCCTTCGTGCTCCTAGTCCTTTCGGTCACGCGTCTCCTTGCTACTGTTGTCACTGACCCTTCCTTTGAGTCCACTGCTGCGTCGGCCCTAGTTGCTGAGCTTGTCGACTTTGCTGCTCGCTGTCGTCTAGACTACGCTGCTAGTCTTGTCGCTGAGTCTGAGTCTGTCTGTCCTCCGTCCGTCGGGGGTGAGTGTGCTCTTAGCACGGACGTCCTTGAGGACAGGTAGGATGAGTTCCAGTGCTTTGCTGCTGCTTTGCCCCATCTCGTGTCCACGCTAATTGCCCCTGAGGGAGACCCGGATGCACCAGACATCCCGACTCCTCGATCGTACACTGAGGCGATCGAGGGTCCCTACTCCTCTCACTGGCAGTCAGCCATGGACGCAGAGATGGCTTCCTGGAAGTCCACAGGCACCTACGTCGACGAGGTTCCCCCACCTGGGGCGAACATCGTCAGTGGCATGTGGATTTTCAGGGTGAAGCGGCCTCCGGGTTCTCCGCCTGTCTTCAAGGCGCGTTACGTGGCTCGAGGCTTCAGTCAGCGGCAGGGAGTTGACTACTTCCAGACCTTCTCTCCCACCCCGAAGATGACCACTCTTCGGGTGCTGCTGCACATAGCCGCTCAGCGCGACTACGAGCTTCACTCTCTTGACTTCAGCACAGCTTTCCTGCAGGGCAGCCTGCACGAGGAGATTTGGCTGCGCCGCCCACCTGGCTTCACTGGGTCGTTTCCCTCTGGTACCCAGTGGAGCCTCCGGCGTCCAGTCTACGGTCTCCGCCAGGCACCCCGTGAGTGGCACGACACACTGAGGACTACACTTGCGGCTCTTGGGTTTGCTCCTTCTACAGCCGACCCGTCGCTGTTTCTGCGCACCGACACCTCTTTGCCGCCGTTCTACATCCTCGTGTACGTCGACGACTTGGTCTTTGCCACTGCTGACACTGCTGGACTCGCCCACGTGAAGTCCGAGCTGCAGAAGAGACACACGTGCACAGACCTGGGTGAACTCCGCAGCTACCTTGGCTTGCAGATCACCCGGGACAGAGCACAGCGCACCATTACCCTGACTCAGTCACACATGGTGCAGCAGGTCCCTCAGCGCTTCGGCTTCACGTACTCCTCGCCTCAGGCCACTCCTCTGTCTACTCGCCACTCGCTCTCAGCTCTGTCTTCGGATGAGTCCGTAGAGCCGAGTGGCCCGTACCCAGAGCTTGTTGGCTGCCTCATGTACCTGATGACCTGCACACGACCTGACCTTCCATACCCTCTTAGCATCTTGGCACGCTATGTTGCTCCTGGGAGACACCGACCAGAGCACATGGCTGTAGCGAAGAGGGTGTTGCGCTACGTGTGCATTACGTCGGGCATGGGGCTAGTGCTTGGAGGGCGACGTCGAGTGGTCCTCACAGGTAACCCTGACGCTTCTTGGGCTGACGACCAGGCTCTGCAGCGGTCGTCACAGGGTTACACCTTCAGCCTTGGCTCCGACTTTGTTTCGTGGCGGTCTACCCGCTCGTCCTCTGTTCTCAGCTCCAGCTGTGAGGCTGAGATCTACGCAGGGGCCATGGCTGCACAGGAGCTACGCTGGCTCACCTACCTGCTGACTGACCTAGGAGAGCCGCCTCGTTCTCCTCCAGTTCTGTATGTAGACAACAAGGCCATGCTGACCTTGTGTCTAGAGCACAGACTGGAGCACAGAACGAAGCACATTGCTCTCCGCTACTTCCTGGCTCGTGAGCTGCAACAGCGTGGTCAGCTCCGCCTCACCTACGTGGCCTCTGAGGCCAACACTGCTGATATCTTCACCAAGGCCCTTCCGCCTTGTGATCATCAGCGCTTCTGTACTTTGCTAGGTCTTGTGCCTACCTGGCCTCACTTGCTCACTTCTTGATCTTGTTTGTACTGTACTCTTTCTATACCTGCACTTGCTTGTTTACCTTTATACATATGATCTTGCATGTGAACTTGCCTTGTGGCCTTGCTCTTGTGCTCGGACTGTGTGGTGACTTTGTGATCCACCCTGAGCTTGCTTTGCTTCGCTTGACTGGTCTTGTGACCACTTCTTCTCCCCCACTTTGCCTATGGGGGTGTGTCAGAACATTATAGCTTATACATCTGTGTAGGCTGTAGTGGGGTAGCCCATAAGGGGTACAACCCAATTAGGGTTAGTACTTGTACCCAATTGTTTCATAGTTCAATCATTCTCGTTCTAATCTTCACAGTACCCCTTAGAAGCACGATTGTTGATGCTGCGCTTGTATGTTCCCTTATCATCCCATCATACAGGTGTGAACAAGCGCGAAGTGCGGAAGGAGATGAGCACGTTTTTGTTTGTGCTGTCCGGGGCGCCAAAGGAGGAGCAACCCTTCCATGCGGGGTTACGGGCGATCCTGTCAACTGCGGACTGGCAGCCGACCTATCTGAACCTGGTGCGGCTGTGGGCGGCTGTGGCAGTGTTGCCGCTCAGCACGGTGGAGTGCGAGCGCGGACTCTCGCGCCAGAATGTCATCAAGAGCTGGCAGCGGACCAGCTTGTGCGATGCGAAGTTGGGCGACCTCATGACGCTGAGTCTACTGGAGTACGACATGGAGTGGAGTGAATTTGTGGCACTGTGGCGCAGCACCAAAAAGAGGCGACCCACCAAGCGCAAGGCAGCCACGGTGAATGTATCGAAGAGGAGTGTCAAACATTATATATGTTGTGCTTGTTTAGGCTACAGAAGGTTAGCCTATAGGGGGTACACAATTCTAGGGTTAGGTACTTGTACTGATTTCACTGTTAGTTCAATCATTCCTGTTCATTCATTTCAACATGGTATAGAGCAGGTCCTTCCTAGGACCGATTTTTTTTAGGGCCCACCACTACCTACCTACCTGCGCCCTAGGGCGCCTCGGTTTTCACGGCCCTCTAAGGCCCCGCGACCCGCGACCCGCCCCTTATCGACTCGCGCGCCGCCCCTTAAGGCCCCGTCGGCCCACACGGTCGCCCTTAGC